CATATGTCAATAATTTCATCTCCATTACGTTCTTCTTTATTCCACTATCTACACTTCTATTCCAATTCAGAATGCTTCAAGCCGAGCCCTCTTCATTTGTTAAGAAATCACTAAAAGAATAAAGACATCCAACACTCCCACAATGTCTTATTTTCACCCTTAAATAACTCACATAATCAATAAATTCACAGCCACAGAATGTCTTCATTCATTATCACAAAAATCCTACCACATGTCATTTCATTTTATGAAGTACAATTAAAAGAAAGAAAAAAAAACTATACATTATATTACAACATTGTCCAAATTAAGTCTATGGGTCCGTTTGAGACAGCTTATAAGTGCGGGCAGCGTTTGAAAACGTCATCGTACTGTTTGGTTCACGCGTTTCTAAACTACGTTTAAATTATTACACTAAGCGCAGGCCGCGGGTCGACCCCCGCAGTCGGTCTGTAGGCCGCGTTTCAGAATAAGCAGCTTATCCTGAAACGCACAAGCTTCCCCTCAGGATAAGCAGCTTATCCTGAAACGCACAAGCTTCCCCAAACAAATATATGCTTATCCTGAAACGCACAAGCTTCCCCAAACAAACCCATATATTTACATGAAGAATAAAAATATCATTTTATCAATTAAAATGCTTTTCAAATCAACTAGAAAAATACTTTATAATTAACCAAGTGCTTTTTTTCAAATGACCTTATTTTACTCTCTATAAATGCAAATTTTTGGCCATGTGCCACATGCATTGCAATTCATTTATTTTTCACACGTGTGACCTACCCATCCCTCTTTGATGTGATCATATTTAATTTTAAAAAAAAAATCAACGGCTGAGCTTTAGTGGAGACATGACTTGGAAACAAGAAAGTCTATGTGTAGATTCCACAGCTAAAAATTAGGAATGAATATTAGAAGGCGAATGAAACAAGGCCACAATTGTTTGGTGAAATGACTTTTGCTGAAGCGGTAGGTGCTGCTTAATTTAATTAATATAAATAAATAAAAGGGTATTTTAGATACATATCGCATAATTCTCATATATTTACATATTTAACATCTAAATTTTTAATTTTAATATTTATAAAATTCAATTTTTTCATACCACATCAAATATACCGCTGAGCATAGATAAGTGGTATAAATGTAAGAAATTAAAAATGTAAGAAATTAAAATATTTATAAAATATTTGAATTTAAATTACTACAACATTAAAATTGTGCTTTAAGCACTCAAAATTTGATCTTTTTAAGAGCTCAAAATTTGATCTTTTTTTTTTTTTTTAATTATTTGAACATGATTTGGTCTTGGGTCAATAGGATCAAATGTAAGTAGTTTTCTTGACCTTTTTTTATCAATGTCTCAAAGACATATAGTCTGTGATGTACGAACACTTCTGACTAAGAAGCTGTACAGTGTCGTACAGTGTCGGACACTGTCGTGTGCTCGACATACCTTGGGAATGTGTTGAATACGTTTGTGAGGACGTGTCTGATTTAAATAATGTTAAAATAATAATTAAAAAAAAGCATGAGTATGTTAAATTAGTTAATTAAATTTTTAAAAATATTCTTTAAATATCTAAGGCTTATTTTTTGTAAGTAAAGTTAAGAATAATAATAATTTATTTTTCATTTAAAAGTTAAGCATATTTGTTTTTCCCACAAAAGCTCGAGCGGTTTGCCAAACGCTCGTTGGGTTCGTATTTCGGACATCATAATTTTTGAAAGATAATTCTAGTATTTTTTTAATGTATTATTCTTGATATTTTATTTAATAATAATAATAATTTTCATGATAATGTCGTACTTGTGTTGTGTTGTGTCGTGTCGTGTTCGTGTATCCATATCCATGCAACATAATCATATAACTAAGGGACTTTAAGTTACAAATAATATGATAGATGTAATTATATCAACAGGTAATGAACAGATAAAACAAGAAGAAAGAGAATATGACAAACATTTATTGTTATTATTATTATTGTTTTTTAGGAAAAAATAACTTTCATTTTTTTAATATTTTTTCTCTTTACTACAAGATTTTAATTGCTTTTTGCAACATTAATTTCTTGAGTTTCTTACAATCTTTAACAGGATTCTATCGCAAACAAATTTTCTTACTTCAGTCCTACACAATTAGGGCTGTCAAAACGGCTCGTTGTTCGCTAATCGCTCATGTTCGGCTCACTAAGAAGCTTGTGTTCGGCTCGTTCATTAACTAGCCGAACATGAACGAAGATTTGTTCATTTGTGTTCGGCTCGTTTCGGCTCAAAATACTATTAATCAATATGTATGTATATATATATATAATGTTTGATGAGTAGTATTTTTAAAAAACTTAATTGACTACAATACAGTAAAGATTTATAATCAATTATAAGTATTAATTAAGAAAATAAAGTAAAAAAATTTAAATAGATTCAAATGATGTTTTAATATAAACAGTAATTTTTAAATCTTGCCCCAATCCTTAACATTTTATGGCTAAATGATTAGGGGTATTAAAAGGACTCTTTGTTCGT